GTCACCTCGCTTTGGTTTCCTCATCTTTAAAATGAGGAAATGAGAGGGTTGGACCGGATGACCTCTAAAGCCCCTTACAGAAGCTGTGGCTAATCAATTTTCTCTCTTTCTTTCTTTGTCTCTCTCTCCCTCCCTCCTTCTCTCTCTCCGTTTCTTACTCCTTCCCTCCCTAACTCTCAATCTCTCTCTTTCTTCTCTCTCCTCTCCTCTCTTTCAATCTCTCTCTCTCTAATGTGTGTATATAATATATATAATGCATGTATATATAATACATACATATGTGTATATATGTGTATATATTCATATGTACAACATATACATGAACATACATACACATGTATGTGTGTATATACACACATATATGTATATATGTGTATATATGTGTGTGTATATATAAATATATATGTATAAGTATATACATATATATGTATATATATGTAAAACGTGTGTGTATAAAGTCCATGAGAGAGAGTAAAGAGTCTCAGTTATTGCAATAACTCAAGCTAATGTCAACCTACAAAACTGGAACCTATGTAATGCCCTCATGAAATCAGCTTTAAAAACAATGAATAACTTATGCTAAGCCTCCCTACCCATCTACCCCCACCCCTAAGAAACCAAACCTGCTCCAAGTGCCTTCCTGCTCAACATAGACCGTCTGGAAGTACTTTATGTGTATGATTATATCTTGGGCCTGAAACTAAATGACCACTTCTACAAAATTGAACATTTAAACATACAGATGAGATCACCCTAAATTTCTGGGAATAAAAACTTAATTATTTCCCCCCAATTGCCCCATGTTTCTCTTCTACTCTTAGCTGTTCTGGGGCTTTGTTCTGCTTTTAGCCTTCCAGTCTCAGTTTTTATCAGCCATGAGATGCATTCAATACTATGGAAACAATGACGTCATGGCAACAGTAGGGTGCTTAGCAACAGTCATGAGACCCAGAGAGTGGTCTGAACTGCAGTTTGGAGCACTGGGGACTTGGAGAAAGTAGGCTCAGCCCTTTTGCTGGGAACCACCTTCTCCCTTCTCTTTGGCAGGGACTTCACCAGGTTCTGTGAACACATGTTTTTTGCTCCTCCAATGGACAGGTCTTACCAGAGACAAATGGGGGTTGGAGTAGGGGATGCCTTCTTTGGGACACCTGGGAGTAAGACAGGCACAGTTACAAGATCTAGCCAGTAGGAGGAGCCTGAACACTCTTTTCTCTCCTCTAGCACAGGGGCAAGCTTAGGAGAGAAGAGAGGATGGACCATATCCCTTATAACAGGGTGATAAAATTAGCCCTACAGCTGGAAGGGACTTCAGCCGTTATGGGATCATTAATCACAGGTTTAAAACTTGAAGGGATCTTAGATGCTTTCTAGTCCAATCCCTTAATTTTACAGATGAGAAAACTGAGGCACAGAGAAGTTAAACAACTTGCCCAAGTTTAAGGGATGGTGCTGGGATTTGAACTCAGGATTTGGAATTCAGGTTAGCTGTCTTTCCACTCTACCTCACTGAAGAGAGAAGCATTCTTCATGGTCCCACTTTCAGGGAATCCTTGCTAATGACTTAGATATCCCAATGCTGGAGATAGGGCAGGAGAGAGAGAGAGAGGGAGAGACAGGGAGAGGGAGGGAGAGGGTAGGTTTGGAATCTCAGGATTTTCAGGAATCAAAATCAGACTGATTGTTTTAGGAACCGTATCCAAAACAACTGAATTATCTGTTCATCTAAGCAGGGTATGGGATTACGGATGGAGTCATAGATCTAGAGATAAAAGAGAGGTCATCTAAAGATTATCTTGTCCAAACCCCCTCATTGTAGATCAGGAATAGACCAGTTCAAAAGACAGAGTCACTTCCCCAAGGTCACATAGGTAGTAAATAGCAAAGTTGGGTTGAAACTCAGGTCCTGGGTTTCAAGGTTCTTTTCACTGGTCCAGACCATGAGCCTAGATTACCCAAAGATGTTATTGTCATGCAATGTGTTTCTGTGCTATTAAGGAGCTATTTACAGTTAGAGGGAAACCATTTCATATTGGCATAAGAATTATTACGAAACAGACAGAAGCTGGAAGGTAGCTTTCCCCATTATATTGGTGGGTCTGTGAGTTCTCTTGGCTAGGTACCTTAAGTATGGAATGTGGAATCAAAAGTAGCAATTCTGTTGGGAGGCAACAATAACTTGGGTGTGGTGGTGCCTTCATATCAACTTTTTAGGCTTAGGACACAAAATCCAATGAGAGGGAGGCAGAAACCAGCTGGTTCGTAGGTTTGGAGACCCCAGAACACCATAAGCCTTCTACTAGTGATGCTACTACCACCAAGGGAGAGATTTGTTCAGAACTTGGCTTACAAAGGGCTCACTTGGAGTGCAGCTTGAACTGGGGGGAAGGAAGGCAAGTACATCTGGTAGCTTTCCATTCTGACTATTCTAGCAAACTAAGTGCTAAACCCAATTGCTTCTACCTGCTGGAGGGATCTACATTCTCTAATTCTACCAATGAGGCCCCAGACCTAGTCCCTCTCTCCAGACCAGCAGAATGCTGGCATTAAAAAGATGGACAGCAGTTTGGGATCATTGAGAATACTACACAGATTTCTTCTAATTTCCCCCATTCCATCCTTCTACCAAAAAAAAGTTAGTCTAAAAGAAATGAATATTGTTGGTAAATTGACAAGGCATGGGTTAATATTGGACCAGATTTATAGTCAAGGCAAACTATGGTGGTTCATGAAAAAAAAATTGCCAAAACATTTGGCAAGTGAACATTATCTCACTAAACCTTGCAACTCCATGCATGAGGAGTGAAAAATCTTAATGGAAGGCAGTGGGGAACAGCCCCAGTCATTCAGGGCTAATTGATCAGTCCAGGGCTTATCAAGTACCTGGTTTGTGTCAGACACTGTGCTGGGTGCAGGACAGAAGGAAGAGTCCACGTCTACTAGACTGGTTACTCTTCCACATCACTAAGGAAGACAATTCCTTAGGCTTACTTCTCCCTGAAGATTCAGTGGAAAGAGCCAGAGGCTGGGAAGTCAGAAGGCCTGGGTTCAAATCCTGCCATTGAAGTTTAACTGCCTTGGACAAGTCACAGCCTCCATGAACCTCATTTTCGTCATCTCAGGACTGGATGACATCTAGCTCTGCATCTATGATCCTAAGTCATTTTAAGCCCTCTTAGTCTGTTTCCTCATGTGTTAAATGAGAGAGTTGTACCAGATGGCTTTCAAGAAACTTCCACCTTGATCTAGAACCCAATAACTTTTGAAACTGGTTTCAGTCACTTAGGCAATAAGCATTTATTAAGCACCTACTGTGTGTGGCAGGCACTGTGCTAAACGGGAGATACAAAGAAAGGCAAATGTTTTCAAATACTCTGGTAAGAATGGCAGTCACAGTGTATGTCTAACATCAACTAATGCTATGAAGGAGAACAGAAGGAAGCCAGCAGAAGGAAAAACTTAAAAAGAATTAGCAGGCAGATGGTGCGACTGGGAAAGGAGGCAAGCAGCAGTGTGAGGAGACATCTCTGCGCAGGCGTGCTTGCGTGAATAGGTTCATTCTTGGCAATTATTTCCAGAAAAGCCCACGTACCAATAAAGCTTTGCTCACGCTGGCTCATCTGTTATTTCCAGCTGTCTGCGGCATACAAGTCCACCTGTACTCTCTCAGGAAGCAGGGCTGCACCTCTGCTCCCAATAAGATCCCCCCACCCCCACCCCCAGCCTTCCCCATTAGGGAACACGACAAGGGGGCCGGGAGGGCACTGGGGAGAGCTGAGTCTTAAATCTCCTGGCCCCAGGCACCTGAGACATGCAAATGTGCAGAGAGGGAACACTCAAAGGTGCAGACAGATGATGGATGCTGTAATGAGGGTTGACAGTGTGCCCAGAGGTTTGAAGAAGGAGAAAAAAAAAAGGAAAAATAATTAGATCCTTGCTTTTTAATGGCTATTGAGGAACCTGCCGATCCTACTGATGCTGCCAGCTTGAAGCTGGGTCCTAGGAGCAGCCTTCCTGAGTCTGCCTACAAGTCCTGGAGGCTTGGGGTATTTAAATCAAAGTTTGCCCTGAGTCAGGAAGGACTGGAAGGTTAAGGAGGGACTGGGGGAGGGTGGGGCCGGGAATTCTCCCTCTTCGTGATGAGAACTATTTCCCTGCCAAAGAGAGGGTTGGGAAACTCACAAACAATAGCCACTCTTAATGACTCTTGGGTACTTGTGCAGAGCCTTTCAGTGAGAGGCTAGAAAGAAGTGAGAGATTCCCGGAGAGGAAGGAGTAGGGAGGGGAGAAGAGGGGAGGAAGGGGAGAAGGACAAATGAGTATATTTAGCCTCAAGTTCCGGGAAGTTATAGGTAAAAGGAGAATGACATCCAAATTGGTGTTCTCTTTTTGATAGGGACTCTCTCCGCTCTGTTAGTCTCCTTTATCACCAATCATTACTCTACTTCCTTTATTTGGTAAAGGGAAGACAAACCGGTGCATGTAGAGACATGATGGGGAGGGAGAGGCTATTTGTGTGGTGTGGGTGTGGAATTCAGAGAACAGAAGGGCTGAAGAGGGCTGGGCATAGAAATAGATATTTTAAAACCGTGAAACCAAATCCTTTGTTTAAGGAGGCACGGTCTCTTCTAGCAGACCTGCCTAATTCCACCTGGGCTGGTGTTAACAAGGAGCACCAATAGTGAACTCCAGAGAGCTGTCACTCACTAGCTCTCGCCTCTGATACTATCTATATACACACAATTACTTGAATAGTCACAATTCTTGGATTATTTATTTTTTAAAAAAAGCATCAGCCTCAATTATTTGGACATTTAGATGCAAAGTGTTCTGTTTTTTTTTTTTAATGGGAGGGGTTGGTGTGGTGGGAAGGACCTAAATTATCTTGGTTATTAAATTCTGTACTTAAAATTTAACCATCCAAAGGGATTGTAAGGAATGATTTCTTTCCTCTTCTCCCAATGGTTATCAAACAGGAAACAGGCTTTTGCAAGACAAATTTAGAGTGCATTAAATAAATATAAATTTTATTAAAAACACCCACATAGCGTTATCAGGAATGATATAATAATAAACAGCTTTCAAATAACCTGCATTCATTACATTACAATACTTACAGTATTTATAACCATCTTCAGATTTTTTTTTTTTGCAGACAAACCAAACATCTCATGAAAATGAAATGAAATCAAAGGGGGAAAAAGAACATAAAGCATAGAAAATGCACACAGAAGTTCATTTGCTTAGTGTCAAACTGCAAAAAGTTCCTACACAAGTTAACCACTAGCTTTAGAAGTGACTATACATCACTGTGCGTCAATCAAGATGAAAAAAATTCATTCAAGTAAAGTTGACACCACTCAGAAGCATTTTCAAGTATGGCTATAGTCAACCTGATAGTCCTATACAAGCAATTTATGTCTGCTTTCCATTCATTCTAACTGAGGCAGGGTTCTGTACACCAAAATTACAGGTCTATATTTACAATAAAAATTGAATCCCGCCTTCTCCCCCCTCCCCCCAACTGAGCTTACTCAGTTGTCCACCAGTGGTTTGGCAAATGCTGATGGGTAGTCTAAAAAAACAAATATTCACCATGAGTGATGTGACAATTGTACAGACTCCAAACCAGCCATTAAAAAAAAAATTGAATCAGGTTAATACTACCATGATAGTTTTAAAACCTAAAAACAAACAAACAAACAAAAAACTTTTGGTTTGATGTAAAAATGCAAATCAAACATTTCTGAAATGTTTGCATCATAGTAGACATAATCGCAAACGTGAGAATTTTTTTTTTTTTGAAAAGGCAAAGAGCCATGTTATAAATATTCGACCAATAAAACCCAAGGGCTTCCTTTTGATTAAGAATTCATTTGAAATCCTGCTAGTCAAACGTTTCTTTAGACCAAAATTTAATTATACAGTATATTGCACAACATATATCTAGGTGATGGTGGTTTGCACGTTTAGGGAAGCCCTCAAACTGTCTGTACCTTTGTTTATTACAGTATCATAAAAACCTTATTTAGAGAGTTGTGAAACTCCGGTAAAATGGCCACTTGCCAAACCCCTGCCTTATTTTTTTCCCTTTATTAGCTCAGTGCATTCTACTTTCATGTATATTTTTTTTCCTGCTTGAAACAGTCAAAACATTCCCTAAACTGTAAAAAAACACTTTTATTACAATAAAAAGTCAACAAATTTACAAAATTAGTTGTAGTTACATTAATACATTTACAGAAAAAATTAGAGGAGGGATTCAAAATAGAAGGGTTAAATCCCTGAAAAAAAAAAGAATGTATTTATTAACCTACAATAGCTTTACATACACACAGTTGACGTGTTGGAGTAAGGAGAACGAGCTGAAATATCCCTGAAGTTTTAGAACGAAAAAAGGTTGAAATTTCAAGTTATACTTGTTAAGATATCAAGTATTGAGAAAAAGGTATGTTTTAAAAAATTTATTTTAAAAAAATGACTGTTGGAAACAAAACAAAACTAAAAAAAAGATGGTATACAATGTTATAAACTTTCACTCTCAGTTCAATTTCCTATTGCCAAGCTAGTGTTGAGGTATATGACAAGTAGGAACATCACTCCAACCTTTAATGTACTCTTAGCTCACATTAGGATTTATTTGTAGCAGGCTGAGTAGCACCATCATGATGTGAATTCACTTTCAAACCCAAATATATATATAATATATTTAATATATTTTAATTTTTACAGTACTAAAATACTAAAGCATCGTGTTAAAAAAAGGTTCGTTTACAATTTAATTTACTATACAACTCTTTTGCTTCTTTTTTTTTAATACAAATTATAGACTTAAAACCACCACAGCAAACCAGCTGCCTGTTTTTTGTTTCTTTTTAATCAACAGAAACACACAGAACTAACCCTGTTTTATCATCTTGGGTAGGCATCAGCCTGCTTAGTCTTCCGGGTTCAAGAGGACACTTAATACCGAGAGATGACGTATATCACCATGTACACAGTTATCAAGACAAAGCAGGCTGCCTTTCCCATCCTCTAAGAACTTAGGGAGCCAGGAAATGGTGTAGGCCCAAGCTAACTACAGCCATCGAATCTGCAGTTTGTGGCTAATTGTTAACTGTGGTTAATAGAAAATCTGTCTTCAAACTGTCCACATTTGAGCAATGAACTTGTCATAACAATTGTATAAAACGGGTTTACAGTATAGCAGTGAAATGAGCACCAGAAAACATGTGTTTTGTGTACTAAAAGTATTCCCTTGAATCCAGCAAGCCCCGTTTCAGTTGTAACTGGCTGCATTAGAATGGATATGTAGCCCACCAGCAGATATATGGCTAAAAATGAAAAAAATATATATATACATATATATTTAAAAGCTTTTTTTCTTTAAAAATCACTTTACATTTTAAAATTAAAGTAAACGATTTCATTTCAAATGTCTCAGTACCTTAGCATTGTTCAAGTTGTCAAAGCTTAGGTAGACAAAGTGCTTCTAAAACACCATTAAAATATTTATAATTATACATGAATGTGCATGTATATGTGCACATATACATAGTATGTATATATATATATATATATATATGTACATCTATATGCTTATTGTCCTAATGAGGACTTCACTGGATGAGCAAAATCCAGAGGCCTTTAAAATTTCCACATTTTAAAAAACTTGTGTAAGAATACATTAACTAGGATAAAAACTTGGATGAAAAGGTGCCCCTGTCATTCAAAGGCATTTGAGTACACTGTTAACATTTTGACTGTTATAAAGGCATTAAATGTTCAAAGTCTATATTAAGGACACCATCTTCTTAGCACCATATTTTAGGATTTCCAAACAAATTCAGTGTTTGCTGTCTATTCATTTTCATGTTCTATGTATCTGTTTTGATAAATAAAAGCTAATATTAAGATTACAGTAAAAACTGCATGTTAAAAACCCATAATTCCAGTCTTTCAGTACATCATATATTCAGCACCAGATGGTATTTTATGATTCCTCCTGTAACACTATGGCATTTGTTTGACTCTTGTTCCATGACTATGCAAACTTGATATTATTAAAAGTGGTCACAGATGTGCAGAGTTGTAAGGAAAATTCACATTTACATATTATCTCATCCAATAATAGAACCAGTGTTTTCAAAATGTAAATTGCGAAACACTTCCGCCCCTCTTACTTCTTTTTTGCATAGAATGCTTTGGTCTCATTTCCCACCTACCATCGGTGACCACTTATTACTAGTCAGTGGAAAGTAAGTGCCATGGTAAGACTACCTCATTTTTTTTTTTTTGCTGGTGTGCTGAGGTTATTCCACCATGTTGAGCATAAATATGGTATCTGTTCCCTCCCCCCCCCATCAAAATGAGAACTCTCCCCCACTGACCGATTGGTGGTCATCTTTATAAATGAGGTAACCAACAGAAGGTGTGACGTCATATATATCTGTTATAAGGCCCTGTGACCCGTGTAAAGGCATATGGAGATGTAGTTACTGTGGAGTTGGTGGTGACAGACATTGTCCTTTGGGCAAGAGACTTGATGAATCGCAAGTAGGTTGGTTCTGAGGGTTCATGAGGCTCGACAGGCTCCCGTTTTGTTTTCTTACCATAGGTTTTCTGAGGCACGTAGTCTGGGCCATACTTTTCACACTCTTCTTCCTTCTCCCGTGCTTTCTCTGCCATTTTGGCTTCCCATAGAGCCAGGCCATGTTTTGGTTCATTCATGCTTTTATGCTGGTAGAACACAAGGGATATCCTGGTGGGGTGGTTTCTGTTGGGGTTTTTTAAGGGGGTGGTTGCATGGAGCTCGCGTTTTGCACATTCAATGAGAATTGACCCATGAGTTGGGGCCACTGCCACTCCACCGATGTCAGGATCCAGAAAGCTGTGCTCGCTATCTGACCATACCTCATCATTATCCTCTGGGGCAGAGGCCAGACCCTGGCTTGGTGCATGTGGCTCCTTTTCTAGATGATTAGCATCATTGAATTTGTTTAAGCCTCCTTGAGCAGGAGCAGTCCTATCATGGTTAAAACCTGGAAGCATCTTAGACAACCCGTTAGCTGTGTGGGAAAGCATCTCACGGTCCTTGTTTGGGAGATGGAAGGAATGAGGAGAACTACTGAATATACCTGAAGCAGTGTGGTAGTCATGAACTAAGTGGGGAGGCGGGTGATGGTCACCATTTTTATTTATAGATGTATAGTCTAAGTTTGGATTGTTCAGACTGGGTGGTAACCTTGAAGTAGATTCCATGAAATGGCCATCCATATCATGCATGGAGTAGGGAGGAAAAGACCCCACATGGTGTACATTGGGTCTAATGGTACAGCTACTATAGGGATCTACCGGCATATTTTGGTTTCCATAATTCAAGTACTTGGGACCAAAACTCTGGCTGTTTCCAAACCTCTGCTGGTATAGTGTATGAATAGGTGGGAGATTTAGCTTAGATAGGGGGTCTTGGCTCTGATATCTGTATAGATCCATTGGTTGAGACTGGGAAGGACAGGGACCCAAATAGGCAGAGCAGTTATCCACAGGCATGTTTCCATTGCATTGGTAAGATGAATATTGATTATTCTGGTTCAGAGACCCTGCATAGGGATTCATGGGATTGGAAGAATTCAAATAAGAGCTTACAGCCTGGGATGAGGTGGTATACAGATTCATAGGGTTGGCCCCACTATAAAGGTCTGAAGAGTGGGAAGAGCTGGAATAGGGATTAACTGGGTTGGGTCGCCTCATATACAGATTTGGGGGGCCTGAAGTAGCGTAAGCATTGACAGAAGGTGACTGAGGGTTATTTGTTAGGGGATGTTGATGTTGTGGCTGCTGCTGCTGCTGCTGCTGCTGTCCAGAAAGTCGTAACAGGTCTGTAGGTAGGAGAAAGGGGACAAAAAAGGATAGACGTATTTAAATGTTTGTGAAAGCTGAATGAAAACTTACATTGGTGTGAGAACCACAGTCTAGACCCACGTTGTCAAACTCAAACAGAAATACGACCCACCATATAAAAATCCCTATGGGCTACATCTTGACTTAATTTTCATATGTAATATTCTTTTATTTTTTTAATTTAATTTAATTTCCATTTATCTTATTAAATATTTCCCAATTACCTTTTAATTTGGTTTAAGCCACAATCAAGAGGGTTGTGGCTTTGTGCTGCCTGTAGGCACCATCTTTGACACTTTTGGTCTAGACCAACAGCCCACACAGTAGGGATTGTTGTGTTCTTAACCTAAAGTTCAGGGAGTCTGTGAACTTGGATGAGAAAAAGAATAAAAGATTACAACTATATTTACTGTATTTGGTTTCCTTTGTAATCCTATGTATTTTATTTTATGTATTGAAAAATATTACCCTGAAAGAGGATCCAAAGATTTCACCAGACTACCAAAAGGAGTCCAAGACCCCCAAAAGGTTAAGATCTGATTCAATGTTATGTTCTGATGCCTTGCTATCACACGCGTGCTAGAAATAAAAATGACAACTCTGTATCACCACAGCACATTCTGGAAAATGGACCAAAGGTGAACTGTGAAAACAACATCAATAAAATGGAAGCTCAGTAGCACCTCACTGATCCTTAGCATCTTTTTCATCAGCAGTCAATGATCAATAACCAGATAATTGTTTACCCTTGGCTAACTCCCATATACTTTAGCAGGAACTTTGCTTCTTTGTAACTAGATTTTTCAGCTAGAAGAGCATCTAATGAAATTTAATTGGGGGAAGTGATGCTCACATTGTACTCTGAGGACAAAGCAAATAGCTTCAAAGCTATAGTATTCTAATTCATCTCTAAAATTTTTTCTTTAGAGTTTTGAGGTTCTTATAGGAATAAATCTGAGGACAGACTATATCATAATGAGATCTATGATTGCTCATTGCTTGTGAAATCAGTATTATGACTTCATATGGTCACAACTTATACTTTTCATTTTAAAGCTGTAATTAATCTTCACTGTGTCCTTTCCGCATCCCCAACTTAATACTAATGTTATGAGATGTGTGGTGTAGTGGAAAGAAAGAACTCTGGATCTGAGAGAAGTCCTAGTTCTACCATTTGTGTGACCTTGGGCAAATTATTTAACTTCTCCAAACCTCCATTTCCTAAGGTATAAAAATAGGAATGTTTTGCCTCAACTCAGAGGGTTCTGAAATCTTCAAATGATTTTGGGTACATGAACTCATTTTGTAAACTTTAAATCCCTATCCAGATATTAAGCATTATTAAATAGAACTAATGGGGGGGGGTAGCGAGCATCCGTGGAGGAACAGAAAAAAGATCTGCGGTGTCTCTACTTTTGTGCTGCAAATAACAGGGCCTTCAACTTTTTCATTAAAGATTAGAGTTATTTTTTATTTGAAAAAAATTAGGCTGTAGGAACAGAAAGCAACATAACATTGGGTACTCTGGTGATGGTACAGGGAGAATAAAAGAAGTCATGTTTATTTTGGATGGCACATCAGGTGATCTTATTTCCAGTGGCATAATCCCTACAATTACAGTAGAGTAGGGGCAGTTAGGTGGTGCAGTAGATAAAGTTCTGGGCCTGGAGTTAGGAAGACTCAACTTCTTGAGTTGAAATCTTGTTTCAGATACTTAGCTGTGTGACCCTGGGCAAGTCACTTAACCCTGTTTGCTTCAGTTTCCTTACCTGTAAAATGGGCTGGAGAAGGAAATGGAAAACCACTCCAGTATTTTGCCAAGAAAACCCCAAATTAGGTCATGATGAGTTGGACACAACTGAAAAATGACCGAACAACAACAACATAGTAAACTGTTTTTTTTTTTCAATTGAAAATGGTGACAATTGGCCTGTCACCATCCACAATCTCTTATTGGACTTCTCTGTAGGGTCACAGATTTACAGTTCAAAGGCACCACAAAGAAAGTTTTGGATTTTTGTTACACCAAAAAGGCAAATCCTACTTTCTTAATGGGCTTTGGGGAAAGGAAAATAGCCTATGCTTACGTGTGAAACTCTCAATATTATAAGTGAAACTTTCAGAAACCCTCACTTCCTTTCCATGACCAAACTAAAAAAAAAAAGTCATGTGAATTGAATGCAAGTGAAAGGGGTGATTTTAGCAGCCCTGAGGACTGTTGTCTGGGCAAAAAGAATTAAAGGACAAGTGCTATAAAAAGCAAGTCCCTTACAACTCAACTAAAGGAGGTAAAGGAAGAAATTGTGCCTTGATGTTAGACTAGTTAATAAATATTTATTAAACTCCTGTTATCATAAGATAAGTCATCTGGTCTCCTTTCTGCTAAGCCTGAGCAAGAGTACCAGTGTGATTGGTGTGTATTGTATATATGCTATACACATATAAACATATACACACATACATGTGTGTGTATGTGTATCGGGCTCTGTGAAACAGAGGCCAATTCATCCAAAATAGGGCCTTAAGAAATGTGATCTGATTGAATCCACACATTTAACTCTTTTTAATAGACCTACAACAATACCAACATTTTGGTTGTGAGGATCGAATAAGGTTAACATGTACAGGCTTTATAATCCTTAAAATGCTATATAAATGACAGCTATTATCATTCTTGTTATTACCAATGTGATAATGATGATGATGATAATGAATTTTGCTTCCAAGTCAAGGCTAACATTGCACTGAAGCTTTGCCACATTTGGGGATGATTGGCTCCCCAATACTGAGAAGTCTTACACTGGAAGTTATGACATTAAGCAACAGCCTAAAGGCTTGGTGATATCAACTGGTGTTCCAGGATTTCAAGAACAGGAGCAAATGCTTTGCACCATACTGCTTCTGAGACTTTCTTCTGGTGTTAATCCACGAAAAGGAAGGGAGAAGAAGGGGAGGATCCATAACTTTGCATTATTTCTGTGTCTCTTGTCAATGGCTAGCTGGGCTATCAATTAGCCAACAGGATATAGTAATTGATTAAAACTGATGTTGGTGACATTGTCAGGTAGGAAGGCACAAGGTCTCCTCTTCCTACATTTTTGTGTGCCCCATTAGAACAAAATTCATGCCTACAGTTCTGCTTACAACCGTCAAGCACAGTAATCATTTCTCAAGAAATCTCTAAATTTAAAGAGACAAAACCAAAATTAGTTAAGCCCAACAATATTTTTGTCATGGGCAAACATAAAGGATTCACAGAGTTATATGCTAACAATTAAAATTACAGATTTACATAGAGACAGTAAAGGATATTGAATTTGGAATGAGAGAAAATTATGTAATGCAATGGATAGCGTGTTAGACTTGGAATCAGGAAGACCTGAGCTCAAACCCTGTCTCAGACACCTTTACTAGGTGTACAGTCTTGGTCAAGCCATTTAACAACCTCAGTTTGCCTCAGTTTCCTCAACTGTAAAATGAAGATAATAACAGCACCTACCTCCTAGGTTTGTTGTGATGATAAAATGAGATAAACACTTTGCAAACTTTAATGCATTCTTTATTATGGTTATTGTTGGTGCTATTATTTATTAAGTCTTGGGGCTCTACTATTTGTTTCCTATGAAATCGGGAGTAAGTCATTTCACTTCCCTATACCTCAATTTCTTCATTTGTAAAATAAGGAAGGTGAACTAGATGATTCCTCAGGTGCTTCCTTATGATCCTACAAATATAATGATCAGACATACAAGGACGTATTCTATCCATTCTACCTGCCCCTGCTACTTCTAAATGGTCACCACCAAGGCAAAGAAGATCATTACATTTTTTTATTCTTTTTTTTTTGGTGAGGCAATTGGGGTTAAGTGACTTCCCAGGGTCACACAGCTAGTAAGTGTCAAGTGTCTGGTCTGAGACTGGATTTGAACTCAGGTCCTCCTGACTCCAGGGCCAGTGCTCTATTCACTGTGCCACCTAGCTGCCCCAATCACTAAAACTTTTTAAAGGCTCATATATTTAGTCTTCTGTTTGTTAGGTTCAGGAATTAATAGATAAATGCTTGTTTTCATAACAATGGTGGGTAATTATTCTGATGTTTGAGATGAGTCCAAAGAGATCTAAAATGACGGCCTTGGTCAGAAGATGTGGTCGAGAGGTTATACTGAGATGATTTGGTCTAGACCACAGACCCAGGTTATAGCTGTGGTTTTCTAGCACTGGATAGGCTCTAGGACTGCCACTGCAGCCACATTTAAAGAGCCATTTATTTCACCAGAGGGATGAACCTGAGCTAATGTGCCATTGTGACTTTCCTACTAACTGAATATTCTTTGGCTGGATGCCCTTCCTTCTCCTGCTTCCTTCCTTACTGTAGGCATTCTCTAAGGTTCAAATCTTGGTGCCCTGATTCACCCACTCCAGGCTTCTCTCTTGGTAAGCACATATTACCCCATAGCTTCAATGATCTTTTCATATCATCCGAACTCCAGCCCCCACAACTCCAAATGCTTAGCGACTATCTGCAGTTGAATATCCTCTAGTCAACTTAAACTCAACATGCCCCAAACCAACATTGCTGCTGTTTACCTGGCACCTTCCATTATTCCTATGTTTCTTGTCACTGGATGGCTGTGCTAACCAGCCCATATTGACGAATTAGCCAGTATGTTAAAACAGCTGATTAAAACTGATTTTGGTGACACTGGCATGAAGGCAGGCACCCAGTATTTCACTGGATATAGCATCCACTTTTAGAGTTATTCATATACTGTCTTGCACTGTTAATTGATTGTTTTATATGTGTACTTGTTCTCTCTTTAGCTAGACTGTAAGCTCATAGTAGTGACTTTTCCTTTGCATCACCTATAGTGTGATACTCAATGCCAATTGAATGGAGGAAGCAATGACTACTCTATTTTTTGGGAACTTACTATCTCTTCTACTCTTGTATCACATCAAGTCTTTGATGATCTATCCCTCTTTGCCTCCTTCCCTATTTTTTCCATTCTGTATATTTGCGTGAACCTTTAAAGAAATTTTTATTCCACATTTTGAACAGTTTAACTGTAGCCAAGCACATAATTAATTATAATGATGATAGCATTTATGTAGTACTTTAAGGTTTTCAAAGGGCTTTACATATGTCATCTCATTTTGTTGTCACAATAACCCTGGAAGGTAGGTGCTGTTATTATCCCCATTTTACAGAAGAAGAAACTGAGGCACTGAGAAGTTAAATAACTTGCTTAGGGACACAGAACTAGTAAGTGTCTGAGGCAGGATTTGAAATTGGGTCTTCCTGACTCTAAGTCTAGTGTTCTAATGTACTGTACCATCTACCAGAAGCACTGTGGTACAATGGAAAGAGCACTGGCTTTGCAGCCGAGGGCCTGGGTTCAAATCCTTCCTGTCCAGACCTGAATAAATCACTTAACCATTCTGGATGCCAGTTTCCTAATTTGTAAATGGAGGGAATTGTACTGGATGGTCTATATGGTCCTGCTCAGCTCTAAATATTTGATCCTATAGAAAAAGCCAGGAAGAGGGTAGAGATGTGATGCAGACAGCTGCTACCTCCATTAAAAAGCCCTAACTCTCTCCTTTTCATAGCCGAACTATTCAGATGAACGTGATACATTCGTTGGTTATTTCTTCCTCATTCTCTGCAACCTGCATTTGGTCCTCATAACTACTGAAAAAAAAAGCTCTTGAGGATCACAGGTGACTTCCTAATGACCAACTCAATGGTCTTTTCTCACTTTGCCGTGTGTGACCTTAACTTTTATGTAGACCCTATTCAGGTCCTCATGAAAGGCCATTCAAATGGAAATGCCCAGTGACGAAGCCCTACTAAACCTTTGGGGATTGTGCCAAGGAAATAAGATAATCAGATGTTCCATTTAACATAAACGATTCTGTACTCTTTCCCTAGGTCCATTCTACCCAACATAAACACCTTCAGTCCCTCCAACTGAGCTTACCTGCCAACTGTTTAGGCTGGTTCACAGTCTCTGAGCTGGCCTGCTTTTGACGTCCAGAAGCTGACTTCTCTTTTTCGTTCTTATTTGAGCTGTTCTCTAAGGACGAGAGCCTTTCAGCTACCGCTTTCTTGGATTCCAGTTTCCTCTGCCGGCAAGTCTTGACAGGCTCTGCCAACATTCTGACTTTGCGCCGAAAGGAGCTAAGCACCTGGATGGCCCCGTTCCTCTTTTTTTCCTCCTGGGCCTCCACACTGCCAAACTCATCCATGTTAGAGACTTTGTACAAAGGCAGGACATGGAGCTGCTCATCCTCGGGTGTTCTACCAACCTCCCGATTGTCTTCTCTGGTGAGTGTGCAAACCTAGTATGGAAAAAAGAAATGACAGCTTCAGTTTCTGTTCAAGAAAGCAGGAAAAAAAATGCAGTTGTCCACTTAATGCTTCACCTTTCATTGCTAGGCTGGCTGGTTCAAAGACACTTGCCAAGGGAGTCCAGAATCCTGCTCGGCTGTTCTCACTGAAGCACAAGGTTGAAATGAATCATAAACAATCATAAATCTATACTCTTTGGAGGGAAGTAAGAAAATGGATAATTCAATACATGTGCACCTTCCAAGGCGGTCATCAGGCTGTATGTAATTCATGACTACTCTGTTCAAGATTTACGCATTTCTTATCCCCAGAAACCAAGGAAAAAAAAGTGGCCTTCCCTTCTTTTCTCACCTCAGACCTTGAACTCTAAAATATGTAAAAAACAGAGTTCTCTTCAAGCCACTTTTATCAAATAATCTTCTCAATTCTTTTTCAGTTGCTGGATGTTTACACATGGTGTTCCACTCTTGCACAGAAAGAAACATCCTTTCCTTCCCTCTCCAATTCCCACTTTCTTTCCTCATCCAGGTGATTCTACAATGAAGATCTGTCTGAGATAATGCCAAGAGATGACAGCCTAGTACATGATAGTAACATATTACCATTAGTAGTAACTAGGAGTAACATGGTACCATTCCTAGCCATCATTTTTCTTCTCCCTCCCATGCTGTTTTAAATTAAATGTATTGATTTCTTTTCCTTTCAAATTAGAGAACTGAGGCTTCTGTGAGGGTCAAAGGAGATGAGAAGTTACTTTTGTGTTTCAAAGGTGGAATACTGGATAGACGGCTAGATTTGGAAGACCTAAGTTCAAATCCTGCCTTAAACACTTATTGGCTTAAACACCTAGGCAGGTCGTTTAACCTCTCTTTGCTTCAGTTTCCTCATTTGTAAAATGGAGGTCATAACAGCACCTACATCACTGGGCTTTCATGAGGATCAATTTAGACAATTTATCTAAAGCACTTTGCAAACCTTAAAGAGCTGTGTAAATGCTAATTGTTTTTATTTATCCATGAATTGATTGATGGATACAAGTCATGTAAAATAGGATTATATAAATCATCTAAAGCTGGTCTTGGAATGAATTTGTTATATTTATAACAGATGTATTTTTACAACTGCATTTCACTTGAGCAGACATCAGAATGGCTTCCACCAAAGTCTACTTCAGCAGCATCTTCATGAAGAGATGATCTGAGATTCTTAAGGGTTAAGGTTCAGAACATAAGCAGCTCTTACAGAACCTTTAAATATATGTCCACAGGACTTTGTGTAACTGTTATCTGAAGAAAGACCTTAGTTAAGATTGGAGGGGATTATAACCAGGATGTTGACTATTAGGCAATGAAAGTTTTTGACCACAACTATTCACACAGTACAAGAGGAGGAAGCATCTACACAAACAAAATTATAACTCTTTTGAAGTATTTAAACTATTACAATGACCTTAACATGTACTTTCATTTCTGAGGTGTGTAATACCCTGGCCAAACCTGTTCCCAGCACTATCCCACATCTTCCCTTCTCATCTTGTTCTCACCCACATCATGACACTTCTGTCTTTCCCTCTAACCTCTTACCTCCTGTCTCCTTCCACTGCTATGACCTATGGAACCCTTGTTTTGCAGTTAACTTTTCTGTGTTCTTTGCTTGAACCGTAACGTGGCCTTTTTCTTGATTCTCCTTCAATAGTTACTTTATTTTTTCTCTTTTCCTAGCAAACTGAACAATTCAGTAAACATTGATAATGATGAATAGGAAGTGGGGGAGAATTAGCTTTCTCCTTAATCCCTAGTATCACTTCAAGACCATTTGCTGCTTGCTCTCTCTCTCTCTCTCTCTCTCTCTCTCTCTCTCTCTCTCTCTCTCTCTCTCTCCTCTCTCTCTCTTCTCTCTCTCCCCCCCTCCCTCTCTTCCTTTCTCCCTGTCCCCCTCCCCTCCCTCCTCCCACTGTCCCTCCTCCTTCTCCCTCCATCCTGAATGGCTCCATTGAAAAGCTTCACAGTTATTGACTATTGCTTCCATGTATCCATTTCCATCATCTCAGCTGATCTTAGCATCTGACTCACATTCTCCCCTAACTTGGTTTTCTGCCATCATCCTTGTATTTTTCTCTACTTCCATAACCACACTGATCATGTGGATTCTCTGCTTTCATAATTCCTCGATTTCTTACACTTAGCTTTCCACCATCACCTTTGCATATTTCTTTACTTCCATCTCAATGTTGATCAAGTAGATTCTTTAGCCTTATTGTTCTTCAATTTCTTAGACTCCAAAACCTTAGTCTATAACATCAGCCATGCAACAAGGCAATGTGGTACTACTGAGATTCATGTTCTTATACTTCATTTGGTCTTTCTCTTGGTAGATGACTTTGCCACTTACTTTACTGAAGAAATGGAAACCACAAAGTACAAACTCCCTAATATTCCTTCCTTACCATACCACTCTCTCTGTTCTTTTACTATTCTACTCTTTCCACCTCTGCCCTTAAACCCTTCTCTTTGGGAACTTGCTCCCCTCAATTGCCCTTTCTCTTCACTTGCCCCCTTCCTTTCTCTCTCCAAATATGCATAGATCTTCCATGTCTTGTAAAAAACTTCACCTGACTCTTTCCTTCCTTTTTTAGCCACACTTTTCTAAGGAATGTTATACACACATTACTTATTCCTTTCTCACTTTCTGCAACTTGTATTTGGGTTTCATATCCATCAAAATAATATTCATTATCACCAGTAACTTCTTAATTGACAAATCCAATGATCTTTTCACAGTTCACCATCCATGAACTAGTATGTGATATTGTCAAATTTTGTTTGCTTTCTTGAAATTGTCTTCTCTTGGTTTCCATGAGACTGGATGATTTTGGTTTTACTGTTTTGGTTTTACTGTTTTCTTTGTTTCCTTCACTGATCCCTTGTACTCTTTCTTCCTTCATAGGGGAAGTTCTTATTCTATCTTTAAATTTGCTCCTTCAAAGATTCAATTCCCATGATTTCAATTATATTATATCAAAATTACCCCAAAATGAAGATTCCCCTGTCTTGTCTTCCAAACTCCTTTTCCTTCTCAATGTTTCCATTTGAATGTCCTTTCATCACTTCAAACTGAGTATCTCTATAAGAGAATTTATTTGTCACCTCACTTTAAACAAGCTACCTCCTCTGCTTCTCCTGTACTGTATTTTAATGTTACCATCATTCTCCAAGTCAAAGAAGCCCAAAATGCCAATATCCTCTTTGATTCATCCTCTACTCTTATCTGTCATCTCCAACTTGTCATTGAATTCCATAAACTTCCTGCACTTCTGTAATTTCTTTCCTGTTATTCCCTTATGACTGAACTATGATGAGTAACATCCTAAGATATCCTCTTACTTTTGGGTCTTCCTCCTCTCCAATCTATCTAAAACAGTGTAGCCAGATTAACTTTCCATCACTTTCATGGTATTACTATACTGGTCAAAGCTTCACATTGTGTACAGGTTAAAGGTCAACCATCTTTAGCCAGCACCCAATGCCCTCTGCCACACAGCCCTAACATTCCTTTCCCTATGAATTTTCCCACCTCTATGTCTCTGTTTCTTTCACCTGGAATTCCCTGATCTATCACTGCCTTTGGAGACACTAGTTAGTGTGATATAGTAAGTGGAAGCACTAAATTGAGAGTTAGGAGACATGGGCATGAATTTGAGCATGGCCACTTACCAACTATATAGTTCTAGGCAAAACATTTCACTCCTCTGTGCCCCATCTACCTCAGAGGGTTGTTGTGAAGAAAGTGCTTTATAAATTTGAGAAATCCGACTCATTCTTCAAGGCTCAAACCTTACCACCCCCAGAAGGAAGGCAGTGCTGACCTGAAATGTGTAACTACCCCAGATTGTGATTTGTCTCCTTAGAACTCCCAGAATATTTTTTGTTTGCCCCACTTATGGGGCGATTATTGCCATATTTGTAATCTAGTTCTTAGCATCAAACCTGGGGGCTGGGAGAGATGTTAGAAACCATCTAGGTCAAACCTGTCATTGTACAGATGAAGTCCCAAGGCCCAGAGATGTTCAACAACTTGCCCAAGGTCACAAAGGTAGTATCTGAGCTGGGATCTGAAAGCAGTTCCTACAAATCTAGCATTCCTTCTTTTTAACATTCATTTTTAAAAATTTTGAGTTCCAAATTTTCTCCCTCCCCTACCCATTGAGAAGGCAAGCAACAGATAATCAATTATACATGAGAAATCATTCTGTTGTATCCCATTGTCTCCTGGTTACTTGAATAGCACAGGGGTAAGAACTGAACCTAAAAACTGAACCTGTCATCTAGCCACAGAGGGAGCTTCCAGTAAAGAAACTCCCACTAACAATATAGATCTTCTTGCAACTTACAGGCTTAAAGAGTTGACCAGAGCACTGAGAAATGAAGTCACATGCTCAGGATCACACAGCACATGTTCCAGGCAGAATTTAAACCTAGGACTTCCTGGCTTGGATTTCAGTCTTTTTCAGTTGTGTTCCACTCTTCATGGCCCCATTTGGGGTTTTCTTGGCAAAGACACTGGAGTGGTTTGCTATTTCCTTTTCTAGTTCATTTTGCAGATGATGAAACTGAGGCAAATTGGGTAAGTGACTTGAATGGAGTCACATAGCTAGTAAGTGTCTGAAGCCAGATTTGAACTTGGGAAGTTGGAGTCTTCCTGACTCCTGGCAGGGTACTATCCACTGTGCCACCTAGCTGCCCAAAGCTTTAAGGCCAGCCCTATTTACCCTATGCTGAGCTGACTCTGTCTTCCCTAGAGTGCCTCCCAATAAGATAAGGCCAGTGGTTTCCCTGACATAGGGAACAGCCTCTACCAATGCAGATGGGTACCTGCTCTGAAATGTATAATCTTGGTTGCCTGGATCTCTGAGAGATTAAATGACTTGCCCAGAGGCACACAGCAAATATGCATGAGAGGCAGGACCTGAACTCTGGTCGGCCCATCTCTGGGGCCAATTCCCTATCCAATTGGCCATAGCTCCTCTTTAGATAATGTTTCAAATAAATGTAAAGTAAGCTTTAGGACTGGGAAAGGCACCAGTGGGGAGGTATATACAGCTAGAGTCATGATACCATTCTCTGGCACTTCCTCCCTCCAATGGTGGGGTATAGGTACCCCAGGTACCCAGGGGTTCAGTTGGATACTCATGCCTCTCTTTTTCCAATCCAGATATGCAGGCACATACCCCTCTTTTGTAATGCAGACCATGCAGATATCTTGGCTGGTGAATGATTCTATGATCAGTGAATTGTGAAATGCCAGACGTATGACACTCTGGCATTGCAAGTGTTCCTTGGCGGCGGCCTGCAGCTGGCAATATGCTCTCCCTGCTGTAGGCTTGTCCTCAGAATTTCCATGAAATTCTCATATGTTTGTCACAGGGTTTGGCTCTAACATGCCAGCATGTTCTGAGGGCAGTAGCGATGCCAAGTAGGGTCACTATACAATAGCAACCCATTCATGAAAATGCTTCTTCACATGGCTTCTGAAGAGAAAATATTTTTTTTCTCCCAACAAAGCATAGCAAATACAAAGATGCTTCTAACACAGAGAATGGGACTGACCCTGAATGTGAGCTTCCATCACTTACCAGTGTACTACCATTTTGCATGTTGTGCAAGTCTCTGTGGGCATGGGCACAGAAATCCAGGCAGGCAGTGACTCCAGAGAATGGGCGACCTTCCTTTAATCCCAGGCGGCACTCTGGTGCTCTGTGCTCATATTCAATCTGGAAGAAGACAAGAGAGTCAAGAGTACAACTTTGACCAACACACACTTCGTACATAGGCCATTCAAAGCATTAGCATTTCTGTACCTCTGCCCTGCAGAAACAAAACAGACTTATACAATACAAAGCAAATACATTGTCACATCTTTCTTTGCTTTTTGAATGTTATTGCCCTATACTTCTGCATCCAAAAAGTATCCGCAAGTCTATCTAAATCAGAGTTTCTTAACCTGTCATCCATGAAGTTGTTTTTAAAAAATATTTTGACAGTTGTATTTCAAGAGAGTTATTTTCATTTGACTTTCTATGCATTTTGTGTATTCAAAAACATTATTCTGAGAAGGGATCTATAGCTTTACCCAATGATACAAAAAGGGTCCAGAGACCTGATCTAAATTGATAAGAACCTGGCATATTTGGGATGGAGAAACAAGGGCTAAAACAATTGAAAGAGTCTTAAAATGATGGGAATGGCCAAGCTTATGTATGGCTATGTGACTTATGGCTGGTTAGGACAATTGATTACTCATTCAGCAAATGTTTATTAAGTGCCTAGTATGTGCTAAACTCTGTGGATATAAAGAAAAATGGAAGTACTCTTGAGCACCTCACAGTCTCATAGGACAGACAACTATGCATAACCAAGCTATAGACAGGATAAGGTGGAAATAATCAAGAGGAAAGGCATTTGAGGTAAGGGTGATTGGGAAAGACTTCCTGGAGATGATATTTTGGCTAGGACTGGAAGGAAGCCAAGAGGCAGAGTTGAGGAGACAGAGCATTTCAGGTATGGGGACAGCCAGTAATATAGCCCAGAGTCGGGAGATTGATTCAAGGAACAGTGAGGAGGTCAGGGTCTTTGGATCAAAGAGCATCTGGTGGAATATAAGATGAAAGAAGACTGGAAAGATAGAATGTGGGACAAGAATGAAATGAGGCCAAGATCAAAGGGCCATTCACAACTGGACCCCTTAACTTCACTATGTTCTATGGGCACAGAACGCAACCTGACTTCCAATTAACCACTCAAAAACTTCATATTGTTATTACAAGTGAGCCTACGTAAGTGTGGATTGATTAGTAGTCATCCACACTTTGTGGGGGCCTTTGTTGTTGCTGAGTAATTTTCTATCATGTCCTACTTTCCATGACTCCATTTAGGGTTTTCTTGGCAAAGATGTTGGAATGGTTGGTCATCCTTTTCCTGCTCATTTTACAGATGAGGAAACTGAGGCAGAGTTAAGTGACTTGCCCAGGGTCACACAGCTAGTCAGCATCTAAGGATGGATTTTAACTTAGGTCCTCCTGACTTCAGGGCCAGCCATCTATCTACTTCACCACCTTGTTGCCCACTGTAGGAAGGCAGAGGGGTGGAATAAAATACATGCCTTTCTGATTATGAATCAAAGTGTTACCTTCTACTAAGGAAAATACATGCTTGTGAGGCTCGATCTGCTTCTAATGATATATGCCATTCATGAATAGTTATATAAATTCAATTTAACAAAATTTTGTTAAGTTCCTATATTAGGGAGCTTAGAAACATAGAACATAGAAAAACTAAAATGAAACTTCCTTTTCTTCTACTGGAGAGAGCCACTATGTGCACATGTAAATAAATTGGGATTGGACCTGTGATTTTATTCATGTAGGCAACTTCCAGGGAAGGAAACTCCCTCTATCAAGGCAGGTTTCTATCTTCTCTGTAACTTCTCTAGTTTCAGAAAGTTTTCTAGAGCAAAGGTATCAAACATCACCACAATCCCACTGCACCTAAACTAGATTAAAATGTAATTGGAAAATATTTAATAAAATAAATAAAAATACAATAGAATGTAGAAAATGTTAATATGTAGTTTTCTAAGTTAATATGTGGCAGCAGAAAGGTGAAATTATTTGCCCAGGGTCAGACAGTTATTATGGAACTGAGGCGGGCCTTAAATTTGGCCTTGTATTCCTGACTTGAAGGCCAGCTCCCTAACCCCTGCACAATCTTGACCCTCAATAAGTATCTTATTTGAGTGGAGAGCACCAGTAGCCAGGGATCATGGGCATTCAGGAAGGCTTTTCAGAGGACGTTGTACTTGAACTGAATCTTAAAAAAAGCTAAAGATTCCTAGAGGCAGAGATGCAGAAGGAGTGCATTCCAGACACTGGAAACAGCTTTTTGCAAAAGGTGGTGGTGGTGGTGGTGGTGGTGGTGGGGTTGGCAGTGGTGGGGTTGGCCAGCTCAGGAACAGTTGGCCTGTTTGATGGGAATGTAGAATGTGAGCAATGCAAGAAGAATACAAGGGTAGTTTGGAGCCAGATTGTGGAGGGCTTTAAAAATGTCAGGCTGAATTTCTATTTTATCCAAGAGAAAATAGAGAGCCACTGAAGGATTTGCAGAAGGGCATAATGTGGTTGGTGTTGTGCCACAGGAAGATGATCTTGGCAGCTATGGGGGTGGTGGATTGGAGAAGTGAGATTCTGGAAGCAGATGATGCATTAAACGAGGGTAGTGTCCTGTGAATGGAAAGAAGGGGATTGATAAGAAGTGTGTTATGGTGCTATAAACAGTCTGATGGCAGAAAGTGAAGAGGAATTAAGAAGCCTCTTGATGAGGGTGAAAAAGGAGAGTGTGAAAACTGGCTTGAAGCTTAACATAAAAAAAGAAAAAACAACACAACTAGGATATTGGCAACTGGTTGCATCCCTTCCTGGCAAAAAGATGGAAAAGAAATGGAAGCAGTGTCAGATTTTATATTTTTGGGCTCAAAGATCATTGCAGACAGTAACTGCAGCCATGAAATTAAAATGCATGCTCCTTGGAAGAAAAGCTGTGGCAAATCTGGACAGCATACTAAAAAGCAGAGGTATCACCTTGAAAGGTCTGTGGAGTCAAAGGTATGGTTTTTCCAGTAACAATGTATGGCTGTGAGATTTAGATTGTAAGGAAAGTTGGGCACAGAATAGTTGCTTTTGAATTGTGCTGGAAAAGACTTTTGAGAGTCTTTTGGACAGCAAGGAGGTCAAATCAGTCAATACTTAAAGAAATTAATTAAGGCTATTCACTAGAAGGTCAAATACTAAAGCTGAAGCTTAAGTACTTTGGCCACATAATGAGAAGATGGGACTCATTGGAAAAGACACTGATGTTGCGAAATATTGAATGCAAAAGGAAAAGGGGATGTCAGAGGATGAGATGGGTAGATAGTATCATGGAAACAAAGAACATGAACTTGGGCAGACTTTGAGGGATTGTGGAGGATAGAAGGGTCTGACATGCTATGGGCCATGGGGTCATGAAGAGTTAGACATGACTGAAAATGACTGAACAAAATTGAACATTTTTTACCTTGACTCCAACAAATGCGAAGAATGATTAAATAATAGTAATGTTATGATGATAGATTATTTTCCCAGGGAATTTCGCTTTTGGTCATCATAGCAATCTTTTGAAGTGGGTGAGTGCTGGTAGCAACAAAGGAACTGGTAAAAGAAATGCTATGAGGACAGAGTGAAGCATAACCCTAAGCAAGTTGTGGTTATGGGATTATTGGAAAGAAAAGCAGCTGACAGATTAGGTAAGCAGGTGACAAATAGAAAAAATGGTCTTTTCATTTGGAACAAAGACACTGTGCCACTTGAGAGCAAATGCAAACCAAAGAAGAAGCTTTACATGTGTCTAAAGGAGTTAGGAACATTAAGCCACTAGCACTGTTGCCTAGGTCCTTTCAGCCAACAACTATAAGCACTAATAACCACCATGAACAGCTAGAGCCCCACAGCTGGATGGCATCTCAGAGTGGCACTAGTATACATTATATGCACAGGTGGCTAACAAAGGAAGTTTAAAAAGTCAATCCCTCAACAAGCATATTTATTCAGTGACTTCTATGTGCCTGGCACTATGCTAAGCACTAGGGATACAAAGAAAAGCAAAAAAGAATGATGACAACAGCTATAAGAATCTAGTTCCCTTCTCAAGGAGCTCACAATCCAATGGGAGAGAAAACATGCAAACAATTATGCACCAATAAGATATGTAAGCAAGTTGAATTGGAGATAATCAACAGAGAGTAAAAAGTGCTGAACTCAGGATTAAGCTGTCCTTTGAAAGGCTATAAGACTATCTCACAGGAATCTAATCCAATCAGTTTATTCCAATGAGATCCATCCTCCAGCTGGTGATAAGTGTCACGTTCATATCCTTTTCACTAGCAGAAGAAATAATATACTCTAACCTATAAGATTAGCAAGGAACATTCTTAATTAGTTGCACCCCTCCCCATACACACACAATTTAAACTATTAGAGTTAAAACTTCACTAAGACTTTTGGGACACCCTATCTATGTATATAAAATGTGCAGAGAGGATGTAAGGATTGAATTACCTACTATATAATTTCATTAACATAACTTAAAAAATAACACAAATTAATATTCATTGGAGGAAAAAAGTTTAGTTATAGTTTTGCTACGGAAGATAATCATATGTCTATTTGAATTAAGCTCTTCTAGCTTTATTACAGTCATTTGTGTCTCTCAGTTAATGATAATGTTTTGAATTTCCTCAAGTATGACCAAGATGCAAATATTTCTCATTTTATGGTAGAAACCTAAGCTTAATCAATATTTTCCACTTACTGACAACACTACCCAGGGCACAGTATAGTACTTAAACCAAAATACAATTATATGCCAACAGGACTACAGACAGTATAGCGAATCATGAATTTCTTTATTCTTGTTTGGTCTTTAGTTAATATGCTACACAGCTATGTGCTTATGTAATTTTGTACATAGAGGCTTTATATGTGCTTATTCACTGAAAGGTAGGGCAGAGCCAATAAAGCTAAGTCTGAGAAGCTGTTTTAGGGTCATCACCTCTGAACTGAGCTCAACAGAATAAATAAACATCTGCTTATGGAGAAACTGGTTCAGTTTGCCTTTTGAAGTCAACAAATGCAAATTTTCAAAGACAATATTTTAAAAGCACATTTTAACGGGTACATCA